CAGAAAGACATAGGGTCATTGTATACGGAGTCCATGTAATCCTTGTATCCGAATCTCTGGTACCACCAACTCATCTTCAGCATTGGATACGCAAAAAACTGGACTCATTTATCCCACTACTTATAAGAGCATAAATCTTCTCCTCCGCATCTCTTATGGATGTCAAGATCGCATTCTTTTTGGTGTCTATGATGGACATGAGCTTTGCATCCGCCTGCTGTAGGGACTCTTGGTCAACATGCAACTTCAGCTCTCCCCTAGCTGTGAATCTGGAAACCTCTGCAAGCTCTTCGGCTGTGGTGTTCCCCTTAACATCCTTGAATTCGTAAAGCTCCTTCCACATGTCAAATGTAGTCGACTCGATGCTCTTGCCCTCGTCCTGAATTGCCTGTAGCACGTTTTTCCGTGTAGTTTCTACGGTATCGACGATCTCCTTCCATTTCTCATCTCCAACAAGCGTAGTAATGTTACTTTTATTAGTCCTTAGAAAATGATTGATCTTATCATAGGTATGTTTAAGATTAAATATACATTCACTAAACATATGATAGAAGGCTACTTCCTTTGCAGTATGTACCTTATGTATCAAAATCGAACCGTCCATATAGCCATAAAGATAATCAGGAACATCTGAATAGTCAAATACATATCGAGGACATTGAATGCCCTTCAAGTCTGGATTCGCTACATTCAAGATGTCAAAAAGTGTAGCTCCCACGAACGCAATTAAACAGTAGATTGCCTTGTATGCCTTTCTTGTTTGTAGAATATTCATTAGGGTATGGGTTAAAAATTTTTAAATATTCGAATTTGACAGGAAATCACAATGACATATCTCCAAATTTAAAGAGCAATGTCAGCATTAATCACCACTGTGCTGATAAATCTTTGTGATTAATTCCACTACTTAACAATTGTTTTTGAAAAATTTTTAGTATATTGACAGGTGCCAAGTCATTCCGGTGCAATCACTCCAGACTCATTAAATGCGAATTCTTGGATAAATAACACTGGAGTAGTTAGTGCACAGCTTACTAACAATAAAATATCTTAAGATTTGTTGTTTCGTAGCCTCAAAAAACTGTATACTGTTTAAATCAATTCAATTGCTGGTAATACTCTATGCTCTTGCCTCTGAGCAATGCCACTGCATAACCGTACTGTCATATAGAATGCAATCATGTGCCTCCATCAACCCTCATGGATTCCGCGGATCACAAAGAAGATACATTCAAAACGGCACACAGGTCTTGCGTCCATCTGGCAAAGATGCTTCTTGGAAAAGTTCTGTGCAGGAGAGTGTCGGATAGAATCCTGAAGGGCATCATCGTGGAGACAGAGGCATACTTAGGTCCGGAGGATGAAGCAGCTCACTCCTTTAGAGGAAGACGAACTCCCCGCAACGAGGCAATGTACTTGGGAATGGGTACTTGCTATGTCTACATCATATACGGCATACACCACTGCTTCAACATATCCTCGAGAGAAGAAGGGTCCGCCGTTCTTGTCAGAGCCCTCCAGCCGCTTGAGGGAATAGACATGATGATCAAGCATAGAGAGGCTGCTGGAATGAAGGAGCATAAGAAGAACATAGAGAACATATCTAATGGCCCCTCCAAGCTGTGCATTGCAATGGCTATAACCAGGTCTGAGATAAATGGCGAGAACGTGGTAACTAGTGACAAAATATGGCTCGAGAAGGGAAGACCAGTGGGTGAAAATGAAGTAGTAGCCACTAAAAGAATCGGGATTAAAAATGCAGGAGCGTGGGAAGAGATGCATCTTAGATTCTATATAGAGAATAGCCCATTTGTAAGCTGCAGGAGGTCGCAGAACAAAAACTTTTAGTAAATGTGCACAATTCCAATGCCACCAAAACATACTCCACAGTGCTGAAAGCTGCGTGAATGTCTGGAAAGTCAGTTGGATCTTAGCAGCTTGTGCTGACACAACAATAGAGCTTGTCCACTAGCTGTTGTAGACAAGCTATATGGAGCTATCTTGGCATGACCTTTCCAGGACTGGGTATTCTGGAAAGAACATATACTGCACAATTCATCAACGTTCTTCCGAAAAGAAC